GCTATGACCTCTGACGTTTGATTTGGCAACTATGTTGTGTGAATTTAGCTTTACTTAAACCCTTATACATATGTACCTACTTATTTTGTTTGTGTACTTGTTTCATTTTGCATTTTGCATGCGGGCAAACGCAATGCAACTGTAACGTTTTGCAGCAAACTGTGATAAGGTTCACTGAAATTTTGCAATTTTTAATGCTAAAATTTTAAAATATCCTACAAAGAAATAGGCAAATATGTTTTCTTTACACCAATTTTACAGCTAAACTATACTTCTAAGGTATAAAGAATTACATATGTTTTATTAGAAATGCATTTTTGAGCTGAAATGTAGAATATGACTCGAATTTCATATTATTTCAGATTAGATTAAAATTAACACTGATACTACAAATCTCAATTTTCAAATTTTTTTGGTATCTGCACAAAGTTAATAAAAAAGCTGTTGTCGTAGACGTACTTTGTACTACGTATGTCGAAGAAACCAAAAGAAGATGAAATATTAGCCCAGTGTGATGTGTCTGGATGGCTTTTCTGGCAACGATTTTTCAGACGTCCAAAATACCGAATGGGACACATATGTCTTGTTACTGAAATTTGTTGAATATCATTAAGCTCAGCCACAGCATTAAGCCCCTCTACAAAATCCAAAGCCAAATGAAGAAAGAGCCTTAGGAGCCGCCTGACTAGCAATCGCAATGAGTATCCTCTAGCTTCGATAATTTCTTCGAATGTTAGATATTCTCAGCACACTTGAAAAATGCTATGAAAGGTTGCTAGGGGCACCAAAAGCTTCAGCCTGGGGCAATATACGCCTGCTCCAATCCCCTCAGGTGTTTTAGAGCCCTCAGTATACTACTGTAGTGTGCTCGTCTGTATCTTATAGAGGCACTCAGATCGCCTTGCTATAAGTGTAAGCCCTGAAGTTTCTTTTGAAACACACCACTCTATTAGTATCATCCCTGGGGAACAGAGCTACCTCCCCTCCTGTGTGAGAACACCTTTGCATTTGCCCAAACCCTCTCTCGAAAAATTAAGGAGAGTTCGCTTCGCAGCCAGCCCTACTGAAAGATGCAGCAGTTCGAGTTCCAGCATTACCTCCAGCGCAGCCGTCGGGCATATGCGCATTGCTGCCGTAATGAAAATACATGCTATTGAATATTGTTAGTCCTGAAAACCCAACCGACCGAACTAAGGTCACTATTGTTCTCTGTATCATGGCGAACATCCAGCTTAGGATCCTCGGAGTGCACCACCAGGATTTTCCCGCTAGACGTTTACACACTATCTTCGCTCTCGTAGTCTTAAAGGTAACGAACCCAATATGAGTCGTCCACAGAAGCTTAAAGTCCAGGATAAGTCCTACATACATCACCTCGTGGTGACATTGACCCCAACCCCATCTACGACCAAGTTCCACATACCCTGGAGAGGTTGTTTCTTGGTAAGGGGGACTAAAGCTGTTTAGCTGTCTGCACACCATCTTTTTGCAACGTCCAGTCCTCTTTGGACGATGTCGCAGAGAGTACTTGCGAGCTGGGCAGCGGAGACCCTCATTAGTAACGGGTGATTTTTTTGAGGTTAGGATTTTCATGCATTAGTATTTGACAGATCACGTGGGATTTCAGACATGGTGTCAAAGAGAAAGATGCTCAGTATGCTTTGAAATTTCATCATGAATAGACTTACTAACGAGCAACGCTTGCAAATCATTGAATTTTATTACCAAAATCAGTGTTCGGTTCGAAATGTGTTTCGCGCTTTACGTCGGATTTATGGTCTACATAATCGACCAAGTGAGCAAACAATTAATGCGATTGTGACCAAGTTTCGCACTCAGTTTACTTTATTGGACATTAAACCAACCACACGAATGCGTACAGTGCGTACAGAAGAGAATATTGCGTCTGTTTCTGAGAGTGTTGCTGAAGACCGTGAAATGTCGATTCGTCGCCGTTCGCAGCAATTGGGTTTGTGTTATTCGACCACATGGAAGATTTTACGCAAAGATCTTGGTGTAAAACCGTATAAAATACAGCTCGTGTAAGAACTGAAGCCGAACGATCTGCCACAACGTCGAATTTTCAGTGAATGGGCCCTAGAAAAGTTGGCAGAAAATCCGCTTTTTTATCGACAAATTTTGTTCAGCGATGAGGCTCATTTCTGGTTGAATGGCTTCGTAAATAAGCAAAATTGCCGCATTTGGAGTGAAGAGCAACCAGAAGCCGTTCAAGAACTGCCCATGCATCCCGAAAAATGCACTGTTTGGTGTGGTTTGTACGCTGGTGGAATCATTGGACCGTATTTTTTCAAAGATGCTGTTGGACGCAACGTTACGGTGAATGGCGATCGCTATCGTTCGATGCTAACAAACTTTTTGTTGCCAAAAATGGAAGAACTGAACTTGGTTGACATGTGGTTTCAACAAGATGGCGCTACATGCCACACAGCTCGCGATTCTATGGCCATTTTGAGGGAAAACTTCGGAGAACAATTCATCTCAAGAAATGGACCGGTAAGTTGGCCACCAAGATCATGCGATTTGACGCCTTTAGACTATTTTTTGTGGGGCTACGTCAAGTCTAAAGTCTACAGAAATAAGCCAGCAACTATTCCAGCTTTGGAAGACAACATTTCCGAAGAAATTCGGGCTATTCCGGCCGAAATGCTCGAAAAAGTTGCCCAAAATTGGACTTTCCGAATGGACCACCTAAGACGCAGCCGCGGTCAACATTTAAATGAAATTATCTTCAAAAAGTAAATGTCATGCGTTTTTTTTAAAAAAAAAGTTATCAAGCTCTTATAAAATCACCCGTTACAAGTGGTTTACTTTTTTTCCAATTGATATTTTTTTTCCTACAGGGGACGTACACAAATGCATACGTACATGCCAGTGTATGCGCCTAAATTTATGTAGTGTAACGTTGAAAAAAAAACTGAAAATACCGGAATGCGGAAGAAACGAAAATTACCGAGTTGCCACTTACATACATACAATTTGTCACGCACACATGCCCTTTCTGGAGTTTCAATGTTTCAGGAAATAAAACACTGATTCTTCGCTAAATTTCCATTCTGCTCTTTACATTTACATGCACTTCTTATATCACTGTCATATCATTTTTAATTGTCAGTCTCATATAAAAATAACTGGCAGCGAGCTTAATGGTTGGTTTTATTTAACATTTGCACTGTGGAACGTGCTTTTTTGCAAAGTGATTACAAAAACGACGTTATTATGTAAGTATGTGCAAATAAGTTTTTATTACAATTACACTGTTGATGTTCAACATATTATAACTGAGATTAAGTGCTGCCTTAGAGCTTGTAGTAGAGTTGGTTGTTCATGTTTTTCCAGCGAAATATATAAGTAAAAATGGATATTCAAAACATAGCCATCCTTGCGTTCCGATCAGTGTTGCCAGGTCACTGAAGTGACAAATCGTCAGTTTGGTTCTCAAAAATCGTCAGTTGCATGCAAAAATCGGCAACATATAGAAACTTAAAATAAACCAGGTTTTTGGTTTTTTTTCTGATTGATGTACGTAAAAAATAAAAAGTTAAAAGTTTTAACGAATTTTTTAAATTCACATAAAAATTACTTAAAAAAAATTATTTTAATTGCAATAAAACCGCATTTTCTTCTTCATTTTTAGATCATTAAGCCGGGCAGGCTGCACCAATCAATTTTAAATTTATCAGCCTGTTAAAATTTAAAATTACACAATTTTGTTCGAAAATTAAACAATTTAAATTTTAGCAGCATGATAAATTTAAAAGTGATGAGTGGAACTTTGGATAACTCGTATGACATATGTTTTTGTCACAAAGTTTTTCTCTAGTTCATATTGGCTGCGTTTCTTTATACATTCCGGATAATCCCATTTCACAGCCGGAACAAACAGAATGCCTTTGAAATATACGTTAACATATCATCAGGAACGTTCTAAAGAATAAGTAAACAAAAAAGTTTATTCCAAACGTTCAGAATGAATAAAGAAATGCAGCCATTATGTTTTACAGCTTTCTAGAAAAATCACAAGAATTTGTTTCATTATTTTTGTTGCTTGAAAAAGAACTTTGCCGTTGGTGTAAATTTTCTTGAAGAACTAAATATGCGAGCGATTTTTTCTTGAGATCTTCAGACTGACTTAAAAAATTTTTATAGAAGAATTTTTTTTTTAATTTCTTCAGTGTGATTTTATATGAATTTTTCGATTTTCTTGAGAACTGCATATTAAGCTTTAATCAGATAAAATGTTAGTGCTATATTTCATTTTTGAAACTTTTAAGTATATCGGCGTTTGGACAAAACTTAAAACAAGAACAACCATTACCTTTTAATAAGTCCCGTGTGAACAAAATTCCCTCAAGAGTTGAGTTTTCTTGCAAATCAGCATCTACTGGCTCGACAACTGAGGTAAAGAGAACATCAAATATTTGCAAACTGCAACTTTACCACGTGCATTAAAAACTGTTCTTACTTACAAGTTTTGCTAAATAAATTATTCATAATTTCCTTCGCTCAATAAAATATGTATCAGTACACAACACAAAAACTGTGAATTTGACCGCAAAAACTGCACAAGTAGTGATGAAACAAAGAAGAAAACTAAAACTACTTATCGACAACTAATGTTAGTGCTGCCATATGATATAATTTGTATACGACAATTGTGAATTAGCAGAAATGGTAAACAAGTGGTTACAATGCAGTTTTTAGTTATCTGTGTCTATCTATCTTTAAAGTTCAGAATCAACGAAATTTGCACATCACTCAAAAAAAAATCGTCAAATCGTCATGGCCGTAAAAAATCTTCAAATCGGCAACCTGGCTACACTGATTCCGATCAGTGTCAGACGATGGTTTCTAACTCTGTTAGGTCGAGGTCACGCAATAAGCGGCAAAGCGGCGAGCCGCTCGGTACGTGGTCACTTCAATAGTACTTCTAAGATACTAGTTCCATATTGTGGATAATCGGGTACCCATAATCGACTAGGTTAGAACTTCGATCTTTGTTTTAAAGTATCATAATCAAAGTATTGGGTTGTATTGCTTTTGGAGATCGTTAATTTCATTTCAATATTGTAACCTTAAGAGAAGAAGAAAATAATCAAGGATCTTATTAAGCACATATGTATGTACTATAAAACATTTTGAATAAATTAAATAAAAAAATGCAGGCTAAGCCGCGCAGGTACAACACAAGGTTGAACTTGACGAAGGAGCTAGAACACTAACATCGATCCTTACGCGCAATAAGCATAGATCTAAACCTCCGTGGTGGAATATGGAGCTGGGATCACAATAATGAATTCTGCTGGGGGGGAGCACAAAGGCTGACTGAAATCATATATGTACATAAAAAAGAAGTGCGAGGAGCAAAGAATAAGTCCTGTGTGGACTTCTGTGAGAACTTAGAGGAAACAAACGTGGTGGACAGGCTAAAACAAATTTCTAACCAAGATTCCAAGCGCACCTAGCCTTATACGTAAGAGTTGCGGGGACTTGACCGATTCAAGCGAGGAGTCGCGAGAAGACTTGGTCAGCACCCACTTTCCGAGATGGATGCACTCGACAGACCTCGATAGTGGTGGAGTTATAGCGAGTAGCTTCAAAATCTAAAAAAAAAACAGAATCTACAGAAATTGCGCAATAAAGTTGCTTACTTTACAATTGGGGCGGGTATTGTGGCATCGAAGCCACTTAATGAAAATTGCTCGATTCGCAAGTCACAATACCAGCCTTGATTTGCTAGTGATGAGTAACTGATTGACAAAATTTTGTTCTCCGAACGCTTGATGCAAATATACAGCCATATCATAAATTTTCACTTTTCATGTGAACTCGTTCAAATTTTGCCCATACAGTTCACCTATTGTATGTTAAATAAATATTCACCAATCGAAGTAGCCATGCGGAGTAGTTCACTTCGAATCATTTTCGCAATACTGTATCTACCAGTAAAATAACTGTCACTCTCACAGATAAAACCGCAAAACTGTTTCTAAATTTTCACAAATTAATGAAATACTCGTACGTATGCTTAAAATTGAAATCATGATACAAATTGTATTTAATGGCTTTGACAGCTCTTATCCCCAAATGTCAAGTGTAGTGTCTAAGTGAAATACCGTTCACCCCAAGGCGAATTAATAAATAAAATAATATAATTATATAAATACGCCTTGGTTCACCCAAAATTGCCCCACATTCATGATAAAGTGAACCATTTGGTTAAAAGAAATTTTTCGCCGAATATTCATGATCAGGCTGATAATCGTCAAAACTTTTGCGTAGAACATGATGCTCTTTCGCCAAAAATAACACTGCCGACTTAATTGTTGCTCGAATACACCCTAATACATCCAAAAAATTTATTTATGGTTCCATAATACCGTTGCAGTTTTCCAAAATTTTAAATCAATACTCTCACCTAGAAATGCTCTCCAAATCGAAACTAAATTTTCTAGAAAATATACATACATATATTTACTTTTATTTACATACAAACTTTACAATTAGTAGTCGCCTTAAAAAGTGCGTACTGCAGACTCTTCACGAACCACATATGTATAAGTACCTAATAATTCATCGTAAATATTTTCATTTTCCCGAAATTTGTCAAATAGATGCGCCACCTCTAGACTCTGCAACTTCGCCTCTTCTTCCTTCGACAAGAACGGCGCCTCGGTCGTCGTTTCTTGGCGCAACTCATCCTTGGCCGCCTTTTGCGTCCACATTTAGCCATTCGCCTCTTACGGCGTTTTTTACAACCATCATTTGCCCTAGGGCACACAGGGCCGCAGTCTTTCGCGTATGACACCACCCGCATTTGTGTCGGCTTTATCAATTGCTGCTGCTGCTGTTGCTGCTGCCGCTGCTGCTGCTGCTGCAGCTGCTGCTGCTGCTGCCACTGCTGCTGCTCTTGCTTCTGTGGCGGCGGCAGCGGTAGTTTTCTTTTCTTGGGTGCATAAAAAGCCTAAGGTAAATACTTAAGATTGAACATCATTGACAGCGCAAAAAATTCTCATACTAACCTCTTCAATATACCGCAATTTGCTCTCTTTTGCCATATTATTCCATTCCTTAGCGCCGCGTCGTATGATTTCCACAGCTGAGAGACCGCAATTGCGTTGACGAAATTCGCGTAGAAAATTCAAATATGGATTGCGATGAAGCGGTCCACTAGGGCGTTGGCATTTACCAGCTTTCGTTTGGTTAAATGCTGTCTTCGACACGCAATTCGTCTTCGACGTGGAACGCAACGACAACTTTTTCTCAACCTCCATCTTTGGATAACCTATTTTGCAAGCAATTTTTTGCGATGGGACGCACGAATTTAGATTTAGATAGATAAAATAAATTCTTTGTTTGGTAAATACGTTTAATTTTTTAACAATTAATAAATTTTAATCTTTTTCACTTAAATTTGTTGTTATTGAAAAAAAATCTATGAACTTGAAAAATGTAAGAAAATATTGAAATAATTTTCAAATCTCGTGATTTTAGTGATTTTCCAAATTAAGGTGTCAAATTAAAACTCTTGGACAGCAGCAAGGCGAATATATATATATATATATATATATATATATATATATATATATATATA